GTCCTGCCTAGCCGCGGGCCCGGTCCTGCCGTGCCATGGAGAAATACGAGGTGCTTCCCGAAGGGCCAGGCCCTGCCCGGGAGGAAGGGGGCAGCTGCAGCCTTGTGGGGGGGTGTGTGTGGTATGAGGCCCTGGGGAGGTCTTGGTGGCCTAGGAGAGTGGGTGTAGGGCCCTTGGGGATCGTAGGTAACTATGGGGAGGGAGCATGAGTGGCCCTGGAGGGGTGTGTGGCTTTGGTGAGGGTGTAAGCGGCCCTGAGGAAGGGGCCTACGCAGTCCTAGGGAGGGACGCGCTGGGGTGCGGATGGCCCCGGGGAGATGGGGGTGTTCTGCTCGGGCAGGGGAACCGCCGGGAGGGGAAGGCCTGTGTGCCTCTTGGGACGCGGGGTGCAGGTGGATGCCTGTAGTCCTGCCATGGGGAACTGGAGGCGTGCGCTGTGTGGAGGGTGTCTGTGGGAAAGTGGTTTGAAGGGGGTTTCTGCCTTGGTTGTTCTACTCCTTGCGGCTGCGCGAGTGCGTTAGGGTCTCTCCTCTGCCCTGCAGGTGCTGGAGCAGCTCCAGCCTGGGGCACTGGGCACTATGCTGGTAGCTGAATTGAAAACAGAAAAGGATACAGAGAAGAAATATATAATAAAGCAGGTGAGAAGGTGGTTGCTAGGAAAACAAGAGTCCATTGGCATGTTTGTCATCTCTATGGGCCTTTCTCATCGTAACAGAGACAAATATGTTAGCTTAGCCACTGGGTAAGAGTGGGCTTTCATCTTACTGTGCTGCTGTTTTGGAAATTGGAATATTCAGATCAGTTTACTAGAATATTGAAGTTAAAAGTGGGGAAAAGGGAGCAGCCTATTTAGGTCCATCCAGTGTGTTTTCACCATAGCTTACTGCTACTTTGACAGTGCAGAAGAAGGACTGACTAGCTGTTGCAGGCTCCTGTAAAGCTCTGTTTCTGGCCATCTCCCAACAGCAAGACTGCTCCAAACATTAGAGATTTTTAGCTACCATTGAAAATTTATGCCAGTTCATACACAACTTGCAGTTCCAGTCATCTTGGCAAGATTGTTCTGCCTTAAAGTTTGCCTGTCTCTATATTACAATCTCATCCTTGTATTTTGTTTGCTGCAGGTTGAATGCATTGAAGAAAAGAAAGCAAATGAGGCCTTGAAGGAGGTATCAGTGCAGTTTTTCTTTACTACTTCACTTACAAGGGCCAAAGTCTTAACAGAACAAAGTCTTTTGTCTACAAGGATTAACTAAGTAAATTGTCGAGATGTAAATCAGGTAGGACTATCTGAGGGGTGTTCTCCTTGCCCTATGCTTGAGCTTAAGCCAGGATTTTGTATTAGTTGTTCTTATATTTGAATATGTAAATTCAAATGGAGAGCTGTTCTCAGACGATAGTCCTTTTTCAGAGTTTGTTTTGTGCTGAAGACAAAGAGCAAAGCTCATCCTTTCGACCTTTAAGCTGAAGGAGAATCTTGGTCTGTTTATAGTTTATTATTAGTAAACTCAATTTCTAGTTAACATATTTCATTATATGTTCATTTCTCAGAGTTGGATGTTTTTTGATGTAAATGATTTGACTGGTTCTCTTCCTTTGTACTTTTTTGTGGAAACTTGTTTCAATGCCTCGAGTAAGAAACAACATCAGAAATACTACTAAAATACCAAAATTTTTTTCAACAAAATATGTGAAGTAGCGTGCGATGGATTAGTCTCACAGTGTCCAGTATGCGTGACATCTGCAGTCGTAAGTGCGTGAGAATACATGTCTGTACAGATGCTTCATCCTACTCAGGAGAGGTGATCTCTTTGTGTACTGAGACTGGCTTTACTGATAAAGTTTGATGCAATTTTTCTGCTGATGTACTTGTCTGTTGAAATAAATACAGTTGTGCCAGCTGGGAGCGTGGCTTTTCTTCATTTTTCTGTTGTATCTTCACAGCCACAGATACAACTATAGGAGAGTAAGTTGAATTCTTTTACTTTTCACATCATCAGCAAATTTGCTGAAGTAATTGGTAATTGTTAGAGCCCTACACGGAAGCCAACTTCAAAGAGATAAGCATCTCACTAGTGTCATCATATTTTCTGAGGTTCAAGCTTGCATAGGGGTTACTGGAAATAATGTCTATGCTAGAAAAATCATCTTGACTTTTATGTTCTAAGATGTGTTTTCAGGTTTGGATGTTAGGAACTGAAGAAGGGAGTTGTTTACGTATCATGTCCATAAGGATCAGTTTATATCCTTGAATCTCACAAAGCTGTTACAGCATTACATTGAGTAGAGTCTTAGTGAAATATTTTCCTTAACTTGACACTTGTGCATGCAAATATATAACAGAACTCGCACATTGAAAGAATTTGATAAGATGTGTGACATGAACAAGTCAGGAACTGGCTTAGGATATTATGTAAGGCCCTATTAATGGGAAGGACTGTGTAGCTATAAAAAGCTCTCTGTATTTTTTTTATTTTATGCAGGCAATGGATTTGCTAAAACTTCATCATTCAAACATCTGTGCTTACAAGGAATTGTTTGTGACTTGGGATAATGAGGTGAGACTGAGATAGGATTGATTAAACTGGAACACATGGTTAATGTTGTAGGCATGTAAGCATTTTCGCAGGTTTACATTTGAGGTCATTGGCATGAGATGCTGAAAAAAAGGTTATTTGATTTGAAACAAGCCTACTTTTTAAATTCCTGAATAAACATGCTGAAAAGCTGTGAAGATACATGGATTGGAGTCCATCACATGGCAGTATTGGACGTTGACTCACAGATTCTGATGTGAATCAGTGTGCAATACTGATTTTCATGCCTGCATGAAAACCCTTTTATAGGAGATTATAGAAAGCTGAAAGCCCTGACTTATTTGCAGATTTTATTCAGGGAAAATTTATGTTGATTTTATGGATGTATATTTGACTTGAATGGTCCCATATGGCTTCAGATAAGATGCTTGATAATGTGTTTTTTAAAAAAACAACAAACATCCTGTATTTTTATTAAAAGAAAGTAAATATTGTCTCCTCTGGGAGAGATTATCTCAGAACTCATTGGTATTGGTGAACATCGCACCCACCAGTTTGGCCAAGTGCTTGGTTTTATCTTTCTTACTGGATATATTAACTGCAAACAATTAGACAATTTTGGTGTAATGTTTTATTACAGATATCGTCTCTGTTCCTTTGTCTGGTAATGCATCACTCAGGCCAAGGAGATCTTTCATCTGTAATTAAGGAAAAAAGGCAGAAGTCAGAAAAAATAACAGACATGGTAAAAAGTACAGAAGAGGCATCTGCTTGAACTGACAGTCTCACCACTTCTATATTTCTTCCTCTATATTCCCTCTTTCTCAAAGTCCTCCCTAAAATCTCAAAGCACAGTGTTTTGCTGAAGGGTGATTTTGGAAGCTATCTTCCAAAAGATGTTTGGAAGTTCCTGAGTTTGTTACACTTTCATGTGTATTCCCCTCAACAGGTGATTCTGAAGTTCCTGGGGCAGATGGTTGATGCTTTGTTTTATATACACAAACAAAATATTTTCCACAGGTGAGTAAAAGTCTTGTTCTCTTTGTCTGATAGGTCATTGTTCTTTGCAGTGACTGTTGGTTCAGCACAGCTGCTCAGAGGCAGTGAATTTTATTGTTCCAAAAGGGAGAGTAGGAGGTGGAAATTCTGCACTTCCTATATAGATTAGTTTTCTGTGACTCCTGAAGTCATCAGTTTCTTGAGTTTTGTCTAGAATTATCCATTTGAACAAGGTGTTTTCTCTGGTTTTTGGATGTTCTAAAATTCTGATATCAATTTTTATGGTAGAGTATTGACCATCTCTGTTAATGCTTACATTTTGGTGGCTGTGATGGACAAGGTATACTTTGTACATCTAAAGCAAGAGACAACTGTTGCATTCCATGTTCAGATAAATTTGTGTCACAATCACAAATTTTAAAGCATTTCACAGTAAAAGAAGAAAATAATTGTATTTCAGTTGATTATCACTTGTATATTTCAAACAAACAATAAAATACAAACAAAAAAACTTTAAACCCCTCACCACCACTACCCCCACCCCCCCAAAACCCCCAAACCTCCTGATCAGGAAGGATGCTGGGAACTTGTGGTTATATATCACTAGACTCTAATTTCACAGGCTGACAGAAAATATTTGTGTTGCAGAAATCTCAAGCCATCAAACATACTTGTGACTGGTGAAGCATCCTTCATGCTTAGCGACTTCAGTACAGCAACACTTATGACAGATGAGATGAAATGGAAAATAAGAGTGGAAGAAAGTAGATATTTGTTTTACTTTTTTTTTAAACTTAATTTTTAAAAGATTCAGTTATGGTGGATATTTTTAGTCTTCAGAGAAAAATCAGCCAAAGAGGAAAAAATTATCTTCCCTCTCCCTTCTCTGCATTATACTATTTGTCTTCTAAAGTATGAATAGGATATTTGTGGGCAGTTACCTGCAGCATTAATTGTGTTCATAACTGAAAACTATAGATATGTCTGTGAGTCTCAGAACTCTGCAACAGATACAGTTGGAATCCTTTTTAGCCTGATACATACACAGTAGCATCTTAGAAAATTGTTCATTAGTTAGTGTGTTTCTTAGTCTTTTGTGGCATATCACCAGTAAAGAAGTCTAATCCCTGCAGAACATCTCTAAATTATTTTTAGACATAAAATTGCCTGTAATTCATGCATGTGCAAGCAAAAACTGTGTATAGTACAATGTCAGCGATGTTACCGTATGATTCTTATTTCAACAGACAGCAAGTCTTGGATGGCTCCAGAAACATTTGGTTTTTCTTTTACTGAGAAATCTGACATCTGGTCTCTAGGTTGTATTCTACTTGACATGACAACCTGCTTTCTTCTGAACGTATGTAAAAATGTTTCATTATAGATTTAAAATGTCAGCGTCCCGCCAGGGTATATGTAAACGAGTGTGTGAAAGCTCTTCTGATACTATACTCTTTACAGGCAGAAGAGATAACTTCATTACTGTGGGATATTAGACAGGATACCAGCCGTCTTGAGGGAGTTCTGACACTAACGCAAAATGGAGAGAGTAGCTCTTTGCCTTTATTTCCAATTTTATTTATGATGCTACAGATTCAGCCCAGCATGAGACCCACAGCAAAGTGAGTTCTGGATGCTTTCCCTTTACTATTTTTTTGTCCTAAACCTCACCTACCTTCACAAAGACAGGAATGTTAGCTACTGTTTGAAAGAGATTGACTCAAGGTTGCTGATCTTACTGCTTTGACAAATTGAGTTATTAAAAAAAAGTCAAAGACTTGATGTTCATTCAGAAGTGGGCATTCTGATATGTGTAGGTGTCCTTTTTTTGAAGAACTAGGTAATAAAATCACATTACACACAATTTTACAAGCCATTAACTTGAAGCCTAAGCATGGCTTGCTCAATGTAGGCTCTTTCATTAGCCGTTTTGAGGTAAATTGTTTAAGTTCTGTCAAAAATAATCCAGTCTTCAAAGAAGTATTATTAGCTTTTTGTTTCAAAATGAAACAAAGCTTGTAGAAATTTTTTTGTAACTTACCAGTTCTAACTTATTCATGCTGCTTTTGTCTCTCATAATTCTAGGGATCTGACTGATGTTCCATTTATTAGGGAATGCCTGACTGTTGCTGGTGCCTCTTCAGTAAAACTGAAGAAATCTTTGCCTCCCAATATAACAGATGTCCTCCTTGAGGGAGGAATCGAAAGTGTTCTAGGTAATAAAGAAAATAAGATTAATGTAATGGTGACTCTCATAGGAAATAAACCCATGTGTTTTCTACTCAGCGTGTATTCTACTTGAAAATGAATTATTGGACATTCATTTAACTTAAATAAAATGGGATACTATTTGGAGAAAGGATCACTATACAGCCTTTTCTATAACCTCGTAAGATTACCAGCCATACCTACTGCACAAGTTAAATGGGGTCAGAGATCATTCCTCAGAAAATTGGGGAGCCTAATTTATTTTGCCTGCATTCTAAAGTGTTTGCCAATTTATGCCAACAAAGGATCTGCTCTATTTTCCTTCTTAGTAAGGAAGATATTATTTTAGTCTGAAAAGGCTGTTGGAATAATGCATTTAAAGCCCCTACCTCTGCTCTGATTTAATAATCCAACAGGTCTCCAAAATATATAATGCCAAATACATGGATTATACAGGTGAATCATAACACTTTGTAATACTTAAATGTTTCATGCATTAGGGGAAAAGTTTTTCTCTTTTCAACAATCACAAATTACATTATTTTTATTTATATGAATTTACATCTTGCACAAAATAGAGAAGATTTGAGTGGTTTTTGTAAGTGTTTGTTTCAAATGTTTAAAAGAATTTTCTTGGTTTATGTAGAAATCATGCAGGCTTTCTGGGATGTAGAAGTAGTACAGGCTAAAGCCATTCAGCACCTTACCAGCTTTGTAAGAGATGAAAGTGGTAAGGCACTATTTTATTTTGTTTATTCTGCTCTTTCCTTATATTTTGAGATAATAGGAAGAGGAAAAAATTTCTCATGACAATAAATGAAAATGAAATTGCTCTCTTCCTGTTTCTCATTTTTGGAACATACTGGAATAGGCCACTAGTTGATGTGATTGTGCTGGTACTTGTTTTGTAAACACTTTTGTTGAACAGCAGAGGTGTTTTACTGAGTAAGAAAAATGGGCACTGGAAAAAAAAAACTTAGTGATATTTTAATTGGCAACTAAGGTGAATTGGTAAACTGACATTTGAGGAAGGTAATTCATATCAGCATTGGGGCAAATTGAGGGTAATGCCTAGGGCTATAGGACTGATAGAGCAAAAGGAAGCTACATGTGCCTAGTAAAGCTGTGTCAGTGAAGACTGTATATTTTCTCCCAGCATCTGCACATTTTTCAGATTAACCTTTCATATCAAGACTAATATTTTCAAAGCACCATGTTAACTCAGTTGTAAAATGCACTGTCATTTGATAGCGATAGCATTTTAGTGCTGGCATTGGCTTATGATGTTAAAACACAGGGATGTTCATATCTGTAATGGATAATGAAAAAGAATAATTTGTTTTTTTCCATAGTTAGCTGTATCTTCAACTCTGTTACTGAAGAAATCTTTACTCAGTAATACAGCAAGCTTTGATTATAAATAACGAAATGAATGGATCTTTGTGATTCTCATTCAATCCTATTGACAGCTACACAAGGCTGTGCACACATCTGACTTGTTTGACACTTCTGCACCATGGCTTACCATGACTGATGCTCACATCTTTGAAGATGCTTAAAACGGATCCCTAAAAACCATCCAGTTTTTCCTCAGTATTTTATCATACACTGAGTAGCTGTATTAGCTATTCAAAAAGCTCCAAGTCTTCGTAGAACTAGGAGACTTGGTGAAATACTTTCCTCTACAGCTTCTGAAAAGCATGGTTTTGGACTCATGCAGTGTTCTACCCCACAAATTGCTTACATGACCAGTGAACAATGGCAGTGTGACTTAATGAGGAACGTTCTGGCTACACTTAGCTTTTGTAGCCTTGCAGCTGTCTTTAATAAGAGACATTTCCCATAGAGATGATGAAATTCACTCTGTTTTGGTCCATCTATACTTGCATTTTGTTCTCTTTGATTCAAGAATGTTGTTCTGCCATATCACATCATCCATAGGGACTCAAATTTATTTGAAACTGGAACTCTTGTGTTTTGGAGTAAACCACTGAGCATTCTAAGCTGTATAACTGAATATTGTCTCAAATAATTTCTTTTCTCCACAGCCTTGCCCTATCTACTAACATTCACAGAATTGATCACTTTTGCCATGAAGACCCATGCAGATTCTCTCAAGTTACAAGTAGATGGCTGCAGTTTATTGCTTGAAATTCTTAGTCAAGGTACAGTTATGAGACTACCCAGCAAGTTGGCAATTTACCCCAACGACACCTGATAATGATACAAGCTTGAAAACAGTAATTGTGTTTCAGAAAAAGAAAATTTAAAGTAACTTTTGGATATGTTATGTGAAGAAATGCTGTTAATTGAATATTTTACTTATGGGGACAGCAGGGGGTTCAGACTTCATTCAAAGCCACATTTGTTCTGTTCGATTGTTTACTTTTGACAGCTCTAGAACAGGATGTGGTGATGGCCCTGGATGAGAACGTGATCAGCTCCCTGTTAGACACAGTGAGAAAACACTCTGAAAATGAAGAGTTACTTTCATTGATCTGCACGTTGTTGATGATGATTTCAGCCAGTGGTGGGTCACCTTGTTAATTTTTGGGGAATATGCTTATGTTTCTACTTTTATAATCTAATCCAAGATACGATGCAGAATTTGTGACTTCACTGAGAGAGATGAATGTCTGTAGGTATTAGTTTAATAGTGGTAATATTGGTAAGATTGACTAGACACTGGTAAGATAACACTCCTGAAAGTATAAGATACACTGCTGAGGCTTCAGGTACTTACAGAATTGTATCTATTAGAGTGGTCCCGTATTCCATCTTGTTTTGGAAACAAGTACAAACTGTGTGAATAGTAGTGCTTGGGAAAATGGGGGCATAGAACCTGGATTGTATTTTTGGCTGTGCCAAGGTGAATCGAAACCATTATACCTAATTTCTTTACTTTGGTTTTTCTCCTGAGATTGTAATTGCTAAACATTTATAGTATTTTTTTACTTCTTTTCAGTGTCAGTTCAACGGTCATCAGGAGACTGTTTTTATAAATGGTTACAGAAGGATTTAGCAGCAAGGGGATAATCTTAAAAAAAAAAGTACAAAGTGTCGTGTACAAATAAACTTACTATCGAAGACCAAACTGTTTTTATACAGTGTTTCCTAATTCTGAAGCTGAGGTAGCTTGAATTGCTAAATTGCAAACATTTGAAAAAATAGTAATTTATACCCTCTTAGTTCCTTTTCTGCTCTGTAAATTTCAGATCTGTAAGGAAAAGGGCTGGCCAAACATCCATTTGAAAGGGTCACTTGTGCTAAACATTCTGCTTAAGTGCATCTTGTTAAAGAGTTGGGTCTGTTCTCTTGCTTTCTTTTGTCTGGCTGATGGTATCATGTTACTGGTTTGTTATCACTGTTTAAATATGGTTAGTAGTGCTGTCTGTTGGCAGGACAGTGAGTGGGACAAAAATACCAGATTCTGTAAAATTTCTTTTTCAGAAGTTGTTGCAGAGAATCTAAGGAAAGTTGGAGTAATTCCAGACCTTCTGTCAATTTTAAGAAATTTTCTTCCTAATGAAAAGATCTGCCTCTCTTGCTGTGGAGTTCTCTGGAGCTTGGCTGTGAGTGGTAAGCAGAACACAGCAGGTATTGTTCCTAGACTCATGTGATTGAAAGGCAGCAGGTATTGTGCCTAATTGAGTTCAGACATTCCTGTTGCTGGGACTGGATTATTTTTCTTCTATTCTGGAGAGATGTCTCCACAGCACTACTAAAATAACTTTAAGTGATCTGGAATTAAATAAAAGAAAACTGAAAACTAATGCAGAGTTCTTAGCAACGCTTTTTTGTGATAAGGTATCAAAGTCAAATTTTTACTGTTTAGGCCAAGATATGGCTTAAGAACAGACTGTCAGAAATGAAAGGGTATATGCAATTTCTGGTTTGTCAGTTGTGGTTTTGCTCCAGAGGGAGTGCAGCACAAGCAGTGTAATAGATTAGGTATCAAAATAGCATTTGGAATTAATAGCGTCTTATTTCCTTGCATCACGCTTCTCTTGGCAGCACTGGGATAAATCTCGCATTGGCCGTCTTGTAGAGACTTGCTTTTCCAAAAGAAATGTGATTGGCAAGGTGGCAAGTGTACTCTTCCCATTGCCTTAGAAATAACCCAGCATGATCCCACAGTGTTGGAGAGCTGTGGGTGATTGCCTGAGCTGACCCCTTCTTATGAGACCATGCTGGGAGTTTTTTTTGGGATTTGTTTCTATGACCTGTTCTTGTATAGGTGTGTGGAGATCTAATCATCAAGGAAGGCTGAAAGCACAGAATGTGCATGATTGCACTTGGTGTGTTTTATTCCCTCTGTGCAACAAATCACTCATTTGATTTGTGACCAGCTAAATATCCATCCTGCAGACTGTATTCTGTCAAAAAGGTGGCTATTTTTGGAGGTTTCTTGCTGTGATCCCCATGTATAATTTAAAGGGCAAAGAAAACTAGTTCCTGGAGAAGTTCAGCTTTCTGTTACTGTTTATTAGTCCTGTAAAATTTGATTTGTTTTTGTACGTTTTAGATTCCTTCCCGATGCTGTTGTCCATACTAAAATAATGTTGCATTACTCCAATACCATTGCCCCTTAAGGTTTTACTGAGATAATATGATATACAATATGCTTATGATACTATTGTTTAAATAACTCTGCTTGATGTATTTCCTTTTTGTTATGGTAATTCAGAGAATAATGTAGCGTTGCTGAAAAGTGCTGTCCCTGTTACCTCTGCGGTCCTTCAAGAGCACCTCCAGAATGGAACCGTTACGGAGTCTGCTTGCTCGGCCCTGTGGGCATTGTCACTCCAAGGTGTGTTTTCCCACTCTCCTTGTCCCTTGTGTATGGAAAAGGCTAGTATGCCAAACATGTCTGTCTGTCAGTGATGATCCTTGAAATTCAGACTGCTTGGCCTTAGCAGGCTCTGCAGATGGCAGCAGAGTTAGGAACTTGCATCTTCTCTTAACCAGTCTTCCCTGCACTTGCTCTCTAACGCTGTCTGATGAAGCTATTTTTGATGAGCTGTAGCAATTGTATAACTAATACTGCTAATGGTTACTGTGATAACGGGCAGCTACAGCCCGTGTTGCACAGAGCGCTCTCTGGCTTATCTCTTAAGACCAAGCATCCCATTTGTGTTACTCCTTCGAACACAGCATTAGTGTTGTGCAGCATGGGCTGGCAGGTTTGTTTTTATGCCATCGTTCCACTAGGAAGAGCTGAGTAAAACACCCTAAGCAATCTTGCTTCTAGTATCTGCCAGCAGAATAGGTTGAGTAGTCAGGACTCTCCATCCATTTTGCCTTGGAGAATGAAAGGGAATCTTGACATAGAAGATGTATCAGAAATTTCTTCTATACCCCTCGATCAACTTGTGATAAGACTTGATTGGGCCTTTTTTATGGCAATACAGGTTTTCACATTCTTTCTTTGTAACTTTTATCACATAATTAAAAAGTAATTTCAGAAACAGGAGGCAGAAGTTGAAATACTGACAAGCGTTTTAAAGGCTTTTGAGAATATTGAAGTTTTGGGGTTTTGTGTGTGTTGTTTGTTTGTTTGGTTGTTTTTTTTAAAGGTTGCTTAACTGAACATGAATATGAGCCCACAACAGCACTTCTGCTAGATGCGCTAAGGGTGAACCCAGAAAGACCAGTGCTGGTGAAGAATGCCTGCCTAGCACTAGCAAGCCTTCTAAGGCTATCTGGTAATATTCAGCAATTACTTTTTTATTAATTGCAAATCAGCTCAGAAGTGGATGTTTCTGTATAATCCAAGAGTTCATAGTGGGATTGGGATTGACACCTGCTCTCCTGAGTTAATCTTTTCTTGCAGGACTGGAAAAGGAAATAGTGAAACTGGAGGTGGAAATTTTTTTTCTTCCCATGGACCCAGCATGCATGTATGAGAAGTACTAGATCAGCACAATCTGATCTATTAGTGACTTGAGAGTGTTTTGTTACTTATTTTACGATGAAGTTGTTTCAACTGTGTGAAAGGGTAGAGCTCAATCAATATGAAAACAATAAACATTAAAACATCCCTTCTGCCATGCATGACAGTGTCAGCTGCATATACAGTCATCTTCTTGTTGCCCAAATATGCTTCAGAATAATTTTTAAGAAGACTGAAAATAATGGGTATGACTTCCTAGAAAAATATTACATGTATGCTAGCTGGAGCAGGGAATTGGAAAGCAGATAATGCAGTCTCCAGGTACCAATTACCCCAGCAGTGTTTGTCTCCCTTTCAGAAGTATCAGCTTTGAGACTTGTAACGGATTCAAAAGGCAGTGGAATAAACCTGATCAAAGATGCCTACCGGCTTCATTTTGATGATCCAGAAGTGGTGGGAAGTATCTGTATGCTGATTAATGAGATGGTCCAGTATGGTGAGATGGTGGTGTTATTTGTTGAGTCTCTTCCTCTCCCCTACCCCCAAAAAATAGTAAAGAAAACCATAGGGACATGTTGCTCTCAGGAAAGACTTACTATGTATCTGACAAAGGAGGATGAATTGGAACTGAGAGTTCATCCCACTTGTTCTTGAATAATTACATCACTGTGATGTTATAATGTTGTAATTTCATCTTATCTTGCCTTCTCTTTGTGTAGATCTGTTCTCTCTCTGCTCTCCTTTGTGTAGATCTGTCCTCTCTCTGCTCTCCTTTAGCTCCTGCT